TTAATAGAAAAATAATATTCTTTGTTATTTAATAAGACCTATAAACATGTTCTCCCATGAAGAGTGATCCTTTAAGAAATTAGAATGAGCATCAAAAAATAAAATAGCAAATGAAACTGTTTTGAAGCTTATTCACTGCTTATAAATAGCTACGGACAAGATGCTTCCCCATGACTTCAGAAACCAGTGATTTTCCATTGAGCTATGCATCATACTCACTACGCTGCAAAAATATATGAAGCTCCACAAACTATAACACCTTACATTGTTGAAATCATAAGCGTTTCATTTAAGAATTACAGAGTGTAATGAACTTCAATACAGCATATACTCAGTTGTACAGCACAGGCACAACTGTGTGTTGTAATACATGACCTAAAAATCACAGTTCCATAAACAATTTAAAAGAAAAAGTCAGAAACACTGGCAAAGGATAGGCCTTCACACATAAATATTCTGGTGGCTCACCCAAATGTCAGTAATAATGTCTTCCCATGAACATTGTTAGGTTTGGTGTCTCCAACTTGACCAGGACATTTTTCCACAGTAGAGTATTCATTCTGTAGGCCACTAATTATCCCGGGGAGGGGGGGGGAACCTCCAAACCCAAACCATATAATTGAAAGCAATGGCTCCTGAATAAACCTACTGAAGACTCAGGGAGAAAACAGCATTTCCCTATCAAAACTTCAAACTGAGTGCTAGGAGAGAACCATTCAAATGCTGAAAAACCACCATTGAGGGAAATTTGCATAGGACAAAAGTGACCAGCCATCTCCACGGCCTTAAAAATGTACATATGCTATAGCAAGGCTGAGGAGAACAGAACCTCCTTTCTAATGCTTCTTTCACCTTCAAACCCTCTCTGGGCAGTTTCCACCAAGTTGAACACCAGATGGGAAATATTAATATATTTATTTTTATACATAAAAGTGTGTGTGCATGTATACAGACTGCAAGTCTGAAATAGGGACAGAACATTCCCCTGGTTAAACAAATAAGCATGGAAATAAAGGGAAAAATGGTAGGGTATCACTGTATTTTATTTTCAGATATATTTCCTATTCTTTCCCTTGTGTTCCAGGAATATTTCTGTTTCACATCGTGGCAAAATCAGTGTCACGACCTATGCCCAGCCCTTTGAACTCCAAACTGGTCTTTGCTTTGTATTACTACTCAGCCCTGATGCAAAAATCAAAAACACATGAGGGAAGAAACCCTTTGTTTTGTTTTGTAGATCCATGCAAGTAGAACCAATTCATCAAACCACTACACAAAAGCATAACTCAAAAGCATGAGACAGGTATGCAGAGGACCTACTTTTCATATAACTAATGTTCCTCTTCCTATTGTTGCTGTATTCCACAAAAAAATGTGCTTATCTTTCTCATGGATTAATAATGATTTATTTCAGATGTGTTCTGAATCATTCATTCAGGTTTCCTGACTACCACTTTTGCTATGTTCAACCCGAAGTATGAGGATATAATATTAGCTGTTGAAGTTTGTCATATTTTTGTAAGTTTTAATTATTGAGAGGCATTACATCATAGGATAATATTTCCTCCTTCATTAAAAAAAACTTATTGAGAGTTAACTGATTTGGAATGCAAAAAATAATTTCACATTAAGCTTATAATAGCTGCCATGCTGCAAGTCACATCTACCATTTCATTTTATTGTAATTTAAATTACTACAATAGGCACAGTAAACCTTCCCAAAATATTCAAATATTAAAAAAATTAAAAAGACTCACCTCAGAGCTATTATCAGAGGAAAAAAATAAACTAGCTGGCAATACTATGTTCTAGTCCTTTAATTCACTATCATAAAATGAACAGTGAAAACAAATTAAGTAATTATGAAAAGAATGAAAAAACAAAGTTGTACATTAGCTAGAACTTAAATCAGCTGGAAATATCTTTAAATTATTTTCTAATCGGCATTAATTCACTACTGAGCTGATAAAAAATACATACATGAACAAAACCCCTGAAACAGAGTGATTTTTCTTCACTTGTCAAAATTAGGGAAGAAGTTTAATTAAAGAAGATGAAAAATACTGTGCTTAAAGGATCTTTATCATCAGGCGCAGTTTCTAGAGGAACAAGCCACAACCGTAACATTTTAATAATTTATAAGGTAGCAAGTCATTCAATAGAAATGTGTTGGAACTGACTTATATTAAGAAATAGTACTTGTCTTATTAAAATAAAAATCTGCCCTATAAAACAGACAAATGCAATAACTTACATCTTCTGTCAATATGGTCAGTTACTACTCAGGGTAAAAAAACCTAAGAAGATCCCAATATACAGAGAATGCCATAGTCTGATTAGCTAAAACAAAAAACAGGAACAAGATTAAAGTTTAGAATCTGGACGAAGTGATATACAAATCTGAGGAATTAATTTCATTTTGGTGACAAGCCCAGCAGTGGTTTAAAAATAAAAATTAGATAACACTAGACAACATTATCTTGTAGCACACAGTCTTTAATATGCCTGCCTAACACCAGGGTGTCCTTTCCCACAGAGACAGAAATACAGAATGATAATAGAGAGGACAAGGGTTAAGAGAAGGAACAGAACTGTTGCTATCATTTGTAGATATAGATATGAGATGCCTGGTCTGCATACCTCTAAACATCCTACTGACTTGGGAGGGCATTGGGAACTTCATTATCAAAAGAAGATAAACCAGAACTGTAGAGACAACAAATGAGCATTGCCGTAGGTCTAAAAAGAGACTGATGATCTTTGGGAGAAAAGACTGTCCTGAGGCAGGTAAGGCATCGGACCTCAACCACTAGTAAGCGTCAGGAATGGAACAACCTATATTGTCTGCAAGGAAAACAGTGTAACTAACATTTGATGGGATGATGACTTTGGTCTTTTCTGTGATGGGCTCTGAAAGACCCTGTGGAAGAGTACACTAGAAAACAGCAAGTTCTTTTGTAATAACAGGAGTGACCAAAGTAGAGGGGGGGGCAGGGGGCGCAGACTGAGAATCGGTCCTGGGAAGACAGAAAAACTAATTTTCTTTTCATTGATATGCATTGCAGAGAGGTTGTTGGCACAGTTCATCAATGAATAATTCATGACAGTTAATTATCAGGGCCAGTAAGTTCTACCAGCACCTAGTAACACGGAGTATAATCAAGAACCATGTTTGCTGTTGCTCCCAACTGAGTTCTATTTTCTAAATGTGCCCACAGGAGCAAAGAAATTCAGTAAGGTTAAGTTAGAAATTAAACTGATCCACCTTGCTGGAATTAAGTCTCTCAGTGATTTTAAGAAGTTACACATACACAAAAGAAAAAACTAAAAGAGGCAGCATGACAAAAACCCCAAGTTTTCTGCCCTATTCCATACCATTTTATTCATCATACTTAACAAAGCTAAACCTGTACAAGTTTATACATTGAAAGAACTGTTCACTAGCTTAAAAAACCGAAAACATCAGAAACATTAAATTCATGGTCCCTTTTGCAATTTTTGTGCAGTCAAGAGCAAGAGATCAGCCCAAAGCTTCCGAGAGCAACAGACACTGGGAACGCGGACCACAGCGCCCCCTGGCGGGACATCCAGTTATCTCGGGGCCGAAAGTCAAATCCCACTACACAAACGGGAAATTACAGCCAGTAGTAGAGTTAGATGTAAATTAAACAGTAAAGGTAAACTGCATCAAAACTACATATATAGTTAAAGACACAGGTAAACATACATGATTTTAATTCAAGATCACATTTTTACATAGGAGAGTTATTACATTCCAATCTACCAGTATGGCTTTTTCCATGAACAAGTGGGCCTTTTTTTGATGTAAAAACTGAAACTGTTAGTTGTCTAAGAAAACTAGAAAAAATTAGTTATGTTAGGAATAATTACTATCAGAAATGAAAGTGAGATTAAACTGAAATTTATAACATCAAGATAGACAACACTATGATTTAGTTTTGGAAGACATTTCACCTCCAATTTTATTATTTGTCATAACTGTGGCAGCATAGTTCACCTGTGAACTTCCATCTTAGAATACTGAAAAATAAGGTGTCACTTTTTTTATTCAACAGACTGAAATGCACCTGAGCAAAGCAAAATTGAAGTTCAAAGACTAAAAAAAGCATTTAGCTGAACTCAGTTTTGGCATGTGGACATGCACAAAATTAAATAAAATAAACAAACAGCTTTTGGCACTTATCCACAGTAAGCTGTAAGATGATTCAATAAGAGACAGCTAATAAAAGTGATCAGCTCACAATGAAACTGTACAAGCCATTAGTTCACATTTAAACAATAAATCTGATCGCAGTTTTGAGCACAAAACCATAACTTAAAATGCTATTTTATTCAAATTTGAAAAACTATATTGATTTTAAGTAGCTTAAATACATTCATTCCCAGTCAAAGTTTTACAGTAACTGATGATTTTCAATCACATACACACAACCAAGTTATAAATCCCTGAAACATGGATTTATTATAGGAATACTGATAAAACCTTAACAGAGATACAAATGATACATCACAAAAGTGTCTTACACCTTAACGGTAAGTACTTGACCACCTTGGATTGGTAGATGCATCACTCCTACTGTTAGACTCTAATACCATCCTCTAGGACCAAGTGGTTTAAATGGAATTTATAAGTTTGCAGTTATCTAAAAAAGTTGATTTTTTTTTAAAATCACACTATAAAATATTAATCTTCTAACTGGTGTTTCAAACCTTCTGGAAAGAGAGTTTCCCAGTTATAATGGGGTCTAAACATACTAAACAAGGAGAGCCATTGTAGTGAATTTGAGAAATCAGTGCCCCTGCAGAGATTCAGAGTACAGCAGTACTTCCCTTGACATAAGTTAATTGGGTCACCTTTATCTGTGCATTTTAGGACCTTAATCTACTAGTAGATTTTGAGACTCTTGGAGTTAATCTCATTCTGGCACTAACTTTCTGTAGGGTAGGACAAATTCCAAATGAAAGGCACTCTTATGAGTGAAATCATAATTATCAGCAATGCAAATGGTCAACTTGTAACATATTGAAGGGAACTGCTGTAGCCTACATGAGGTCCAAAATTAAGTACTTCCCTTAAAAAAAGGTGGAAAAATATTTAGAACAGCTGTAGTGCATATGTTTGCATGCACACAGACATTAGCCACTGAACAAGCAGATCTCCTGGTATCTCAACTGCTGTTTGATTTGGTTCCCACCCCATGCCTTCTTTTTTTTCCTCTCCTTTTGAGCAGAACCAAGCTCCAACTGCGCTATCAGGTGACTTGCAGAACAGCCCATGGACCACCACTGCATTGCTTTCCCCAGCAAAGTCTGGAAAATAAATTGCAAGAGTAGTCCTCTCTAATAGAACAGCACAGGCACACACTACTAGTTTGTCCTACTTCTCATTATTTCTCCTCACACCTTTTCCCTTCTTTTCCCCCCTCCTTGTAAAAAAAAAAAATTAATCTTGGGAATAAAGCTTTCCTTAAGGATAGGAAAACTCATGCTTGTTAGTCTGAATAAGGGATGTGCAAAACAGGTCATTTCCCTGAGGCAAAGATCTTCAAGTCATGCCTAGCTTACATTGTCTATTCTTATTTCAAGCTGTATTTGGCACAATGAGGCCTTGATCACTGACTCTCACGGCATTATCACAGTCTGCACAATATATTTATATAACAAAGTAGAAGTTACAAATGCTTCATTCTCTCATTGTTTTGGTTTCTCACATTTACTGATTAAAATCCCTTTCCTTCTCAAGGGTGGCATTGGGCCTCCTGGGCAGGAAGGTAAAGGTTGCCACAAATACTGAGCGCCTGAAAGGGCAATCTCACAGTAGTTATTGGACTCAATACATGGAGTAACAGGGTAAAAATTAATAGCCTACTATATACAGGTCAATGGTAGGTGATTTAATAGTCTCTTCCTGACTTACAGTATGAAGAGCATCCAGGGAGATAAAAAAAAGTCATGTTGTGAATGCTTCCAGTCTAAAACACGTAATAAGCAAAGCTTGAAACCAAGACTTTCCAGCTTTCCCTTTTAACATATAAATTGCACTTTTTATACAAAGCAATCCAAAGTCTGAATTGTAGTAAAAATTTGAAGCTGCCTTACTGTACCAAAGGTTATCTGTGTTCACCATCAGTGCAGGCAACTAGTTTTCAGCAATTCTACATGTACAGCCATATGCTCGACACCTTTCTGCTTTGAAAGGGCTTGCCATTAAATGCCATGCCACTGGGTGGGCACTGAACAAAAAAGAAAAAAGAAAAAAGAGTTTAAGGCCTTTATCTCCACCAGGAGCTGAAAACTGTGGTATAATCCATGACCAATACTTAATATGCAAATTAGCACACTCCCACCCAGGGCTCCAAAAATCAGTCATTCCTTCTAATGTTTGTCACACAAGACAATCATACCATCAGCAAGCAACAGTGCCAGTTAAGTATTTTTAAGGTCTTCAAAAATTCATAGCAAAGGGCACTTCTGAGAAAGATAATCTTAAAGATTTGGTTTTAAAAATAGACACCACACTCACATTCAAGGGACATTCTTCACTTTTAGGCCTTTGTCACAAATCTGAATCTTTATTGTACTGAAATAAATGCTATAAACATAAGACTCAAAACAAGAACTCCAGCTTTCAGTCTCAGAAGAGGTGTGGTTCAATGCCCATTTCACATGTAACAAGAAAATTTCCTTAAAAAAGGAAAAAAAATTACTGTAAAGTCTTTCTTAAGAATGAAAATGCAATCCTTTTTCTCATTAGTTTGTGTACAGGCGGGCACCAAAAAAAACCACTTTTGCATTTTCTTTTGAATTCTTGCTATGACGCTTGACGAACTTTTTGCCATTCAACAAACTCATCCAGAAGTACAGGCCCTGCAAATGGATGAAACTTGGAGTTATGTTTGCCAATGTCTTTCAAACATCTTTTAAAGTATGAAGGTTAAAACTATTGGTCTAGGTAATATCCATGCCAATTCCATGATCAAATACTTATTAAGATTCAAAGTGATTACGATAATTTCTATCCAAGGGTGGCAAAAAGTGTACAAATAACACTATACAGAAATATGGAGAAAAGTGTTCCTGACACCTGACAGGTGCACTGAACTGAAAGCATAAGAATAAGGTTATATTGTAAACTGGCCCAACTAATTCCTTCTTCTTAGAGCTCTAAAAGTTTCACATAATTAGAACACAAACCAAAATGGGATGCCTAATACAATTCACAGTATGAATGACTATCAGCCAAGTGTAGAGTTCAGCCCCAAGCACCAGAAGCTAGGCTACTTCATAGTTAAACTACAGTGTATTATATATTAGTACAAAATAAGAGTTTGCCATTTATAATTCTATTTGCAAGTCTATAGTTTCATGCGTTGAGCAGCTTTACTAGATCCTGAATATGACTTGGCTCAAATACACCATCATACCCCTGGCATACTACTACAATTAATATCTGCAGTTTGAAGATGAATGGTTAACAGGACAGTTTTACTATGCATTGTCGGAAAAGAAATATTTTACACCTGAAAGTATTGGGTCTGTTACAGAAATTTGTTGTAAGGAAATTGAAAAGACTGAAATAATAGTTGAATAAGCAAAATGTTACAAATACTTACATGCACCATCTTCATCGTAGTTGCTAAGGTCTGCATGGACAGTTCGGCTGAACTCCAGTACATTGTACCACTGATCCTTGTTCATAACTCTATACTTTGATTGCTACAGAAAATAATTTCAGAACATTAAAACATCAAATGACATTTGGTAATGCTGCATCTCATTTCTCTCATTTCATCTTCAATCAGTTCATAACAAACAATTTAAGGGGTAACAACAATTATATCCTTGGTTTTCCATTTTTCAAAAAACTACACAAGTGGTGTACCTCAGGGGTTGGTACTGGAACCAGTGCTGTTTAACATCTTTGTGGGCAGCATGGACAGTGGGATTGAGTGCGCCCTCAGCAAGTTTGCTGACGACACCAAGCTGTGTGGTGCCATTGACACGCTGGAGGGAAGGGATGTGCCATCCAGAGGGACATGGACAGGCTTGAGAGGTGGGCCCATGTGAACCTCAAAGTTCAACAAGGCCAGAGCAAGGACCTGCACATGGTTCAAGGCAATCCCATGCACAAATACAGGATGGAAAATGAGTGGATTGAGAGCAGCCCTGCGGAAAAGGACTTGGGGATGTTGGTTGACAGGAAGCTCAACATGACCCAGCAATGAAGCCATATCACACCCTGTGCTGCATCAAGAGAAGTGTGGCCAGTGGGTCAAGGGAGGTGATTCTTGCCCTATACTCTGCTCTTGTGAGACCCCACCTGGAGTACTGTGTCCAGCTCTGGGGCTCCCAACATAAGAAGGACATGGACCTGCTCAAGAAAGTCCAGAGGAAAGTCATAAGGATGATCTGGAGCTGCAGCACCTCTCCCATGAGGACAGGCAGACAGAGTTGGGGTCATTCAGACTGCAGAAGAGAAGGCTCCCGGGAGATCTTATAGCAGCCTTCCAGTACTTAAAGTGGCCCTACAGGAAAGATGGGGAGGGACTCTTTATCAGGGAGTGTAGTGATAGGACAAGGGGTAAGCCAGTCAGAGAGGGAACTAGGACTGCTGATGGACAGCCAGCTGAACATGAGCCAGCAGTGTGCCCAGGGGGCCAAGAAGGCCAATGGCATCCTGGATTGTGTCAGCACTAGCGTGGCCAGCAGGGACAGGGAAGGGATCTGACCCCTGTACTCAGCACTGGTGAGGCCGCACCTCCATTATTGTATTAGGTTTTGGCCCCTCATTACAAAGAGGACATTGAATGACTTGAACGTGTCCAAAGAAGGGCAACGGAGCTGGTGCAGGGTCTGGAGCACAGGTCGTGCGAGGAGCGGCTGAGGGAACTGGGGGGGTTTAGTCTGGAGAAGAGGAGGCTGAGGGGAGACCTCATCGTTCTCTACAGCTACCTGAAAGGAGGGTGCACAAAGCTGGGGATGAGTCTCTTTAACCAAGTAACAAGCGATAGGACAAGAGGGAATGGCCTCAAGTTGCACCAGGGAAGGTTTAGACTGGGTATTAGGAAGCATTTCTTTCCAGAAGGGGTTGTTGGGTGTTGGAATGGGCCATCCTGGAGGTGTTGAAGAGTCGGGTCGACATAGCGCTGAGGGACCTGGTCTAGTTGGGAACTGTCAGCGTTAGGTTAACGGTTGGACTGTATGATCTTCAAGGCCTTTTCCAACCTAGACGATTCTGTGATTTTGTAATGGCTTTAAACTGAGAGAGAGAAGATTTAGATTAGATATAAGGAAGAAATTCTTCTCTTCAAGGGTGGTGAGACACTGGCACAGGTTGCCTAGAGAAGCTGTGGCTGCCCCCTCCCTGGCAGTGTTCAAGGCCAGGTTGGACGGGGCTTTGAGCAACCTGGGCTAGTGGAAGGTGTCCCTGCCCATGGCAGGGGGGGTTGAACTGGATGATCTTTAATGTCCCTTCCAAATCCAACCAGTCTATGATGCTATGATTCATGTACTTATTTCATAATTCTGAAATTACATAAAATGCTTTCTTGAAAGATCAGGGAAAAAATTGAAATAGGAGGGAATCAGGAAGTCACCATTCTTAAGCTTTAGAAATTGTTAAATTTTCATCTTGCCCTGAAGTGGGGCATACCTAGCTCAGATAAATTTCCAGAATGAACAATTACAAAAACCTGTTCTCCAGGGTACAATATAGTATGATAAGGACATCTGCTTTGCAACATTAGTACTGATTTGAAGCCAGGGAATAGTCTTAAGCCTAGCACACTCCACAACCTACACACATCCACCTTACTAAGTCACTTGCAGCTGAGCTGACCAAAATCTTCCAGAGACAGACAGAGCTGAGAGTACCTACACACTGTACCTACACAAAGCAGACTTGAAATTCAGGACAGATGCACCTGAAAAGACTACTGGGGCTCTATTATTTTAAATTTACCTTTATAGTCTAATTAAGATAGAATTTCAGTTGCCTCTGATAAGAGAAGGGGGAGTGAGGCACAGGGAGTGAGAAAAGGATCTGCATACAAGAACATCACTGTTTCATAAGCACGTCGAGCAAGAGGAGAGCAATGTGGATACATTCTTGAGAAAAACAACACAAGCCCTGAAATCTTTTCACAGAACAGCCCAACTACTGTGCCATCATTTGGAAAGTCAAGGAAACTTGTACCTCCAGGTATTGATAGAATACTGAAAACAGTGGCCAAGTTCTTCCAAGCAGAAGAGCTAACATGGATTTTGCAGTATCAATATCAAGACTTCGCTGGTCTTTATCCTAAGGTTGAATAAAGAAAGCACAAAAACCACTCAAGTACAAGCGCATTGAATAATTAAAACAAAACCTTCTCTAACATTCCAGTAGCCTTACCCTTGCAAAATCAAAGGCATATCTGTAGATATTCTTAAAGGATGAAATGTCATTCAATTGTGACCGCAAGAAGTCAAATTTACTCTGTAATTTTTCTGTACAGTCACACCTTAAAATAAAGAAAGCAAAATTACATTAGAAGTTCAAAGCAAAATTATCTGGACAATCAAAAAAATGCCGGAAAACACAGAAATTTAAAATCACTAAATTGCAATCAGATGTGTAATAGTAACACTATACAAGTGACTTAAAGAACACTGAACATGCTCAACATTTGCAGCTTACTGAAATGGTGAATCCCTAGCTCCTGTAACCATTTTTTTTTAAAAAGTATCAGCAACATAATACAAAGTCTCTGCTTTACTTTTTAAACAGTAGTCTTTTTATGCTATACTCTGCAAGTTATAGTCATACCCAGCACTATCATATCTTTCAATCATTATGAAAGTTTGGAGAGAACAGTATTCAGTGTCTACTAAGGTTAGAAAATCCGACTGTATATAAGGGCTTTATGCCCCATCTCTTTGGAAAAAAAAACCCTAAACACACACTTCAAGACTATATAATTATGAGTGGCAGGATTGAGCAGGGACTCTGCAAAACATTTGTGGTTTATGAATGACAAATGCAAGCTCTGATAAGCCTGTCAGCTGGATTAGTCAGTAGCTATTCAACTGAAAACTCACAGGTTGTATGAGACTGCTAGCTGACAGAATAACCCTTCCGCAAAATGAACCTTTTGGCAGAAAAGAAGATCTCCATGTTATTTTATCTGGAAAGGACTTTTGTTTTCAAATAGAAAATGGGTTATATTCACCAAGAATGGCAGAGGAGAATGTAATTTACATATGCTAATCCTCCAGGAAAGACTCAAAAGAGCAGTTACATTATGTCACATTTTACTCTTATGAAATAACAGCTGCCATGATCTAAAAAAATTTTCCACCTTGCCCTGTATCATACATGACAGAAGCAATACTTTCAGAAATGCAGATGTACATAAATAATGCCTTTAGTAATGTGTCCCCTTTCTGGCAGCCTGCCTCTCTGAGAATACATCTGCATTTTTAATTGCTCCTTGTGGACCTGCCTCAGCAGCCCATAGCAAAAGTCCTTCAGGAGTATGGCAGCAGGTCGCTGAGATGCTGTACTTTGATGCTGTACTTTGCCAACACTGATACTTCCTGTTCCTCAGGTCTGCCAACCTGTGCGTGCACTTCTGTCTCTCAGGCTGTGATAGAAGAAACATAGCAATTCCAGCTGTTGGAGGTTTTTGTTATTTCTTGTCTCTAGCAGCATCTACCTTAAAGCAGCACTGAGCCCCAGCCAAGATCAGTGCTTAAAAACTATTAGACAATTAGGCTGTGTGTTCAGATGACAAGAACCAATATATTTTGCAACAAACCATGCATTATTTTGAAAAGGAAACCTGTTAAAAGAACTTTGGTAGATTTATCTAAAGATAAAATTAGGGTTTTTTTCTTCAGCCATCTAACTAGCCTATGTATTTTATTATTTAACCATTAAGCCAGTATTATGCTATGCTACAAAGGCATCTTATTTTACATTCATCTCTTTTCTTTCTATGTTCAGATCTTCATATTGCAATAATATTGTCTTCTACATTTGAGGACAAATCCACCTATTTAACACCTAATTAAATGCTCATGTTGTTATATGTCATTAATACACTGAAGTGTGTTTACCATACATTTTGTCAAATATGACTATTTACTATACGATGGATAAACACAGATTTCAGGATGTTTAAGTTTCTTGCAAAATATTTTTTTAATATTGTTCAAATAATCATAAACTTAAGAACAAAGTAAAACTCCCGTTACTGCCTACTGTACTATTGACTCTACATATTTTAATGCAGAAGTGATTTTCTTGAAAAAGTTGGTATGAAAATATGCAAGTACTAAGCCTCAAGATTCGAGCTACTGTCAAACTATTTAAAACCAAACAGTCAGACAGACAAGCACCACTCTCTGAAATCCAATGCAAGGACATATTCTCTGTTAAAGCCATTTAAGGCATTTCCACACCTGGCCACTAATTTTCTTGGTGCTGTTGAGGTAAGGAAATGTCAAGCTGCTCTTTTATAGATAAAGCTGCTTATGTGACTGCACCATAAACAAGATGACTGAGGTCACCCTATAGCTAACAATTTGGGTTTTTTTCTGTCAGAACAACCTTCTAATTAGCACTAAAGTGAATTAACACCAAACTCCTGTACAAAGACTAGAAAAAGATGTGATTTCTTGAACAGCCTTTAATGAAAGATAGCATTAAATAAGGTTACCTCAAGATCAACAAAACTAGACATCAGCTTACTACATTCTCATCACATCCTTACATCACATTAGCACCACAAAGCAGTCATATTTTGATTTCTATTAGGGTAGAGTTCATTTGAGGCATAGCTAACAGACAGAGTAATGATTCAATAACTCCCACCAGATACTCCAGTATTTCACATTTCATAATTATTTACACATGCTTGTCTTTTACTAAAAAGAAAAATTAGTAAGATGTATACAAACATTAAACCAAAAGCATTAAATGGTAGTATATAACGTAGCTTGAAGGTCTTTTAATATACAAAAAGAGTTCCCTGCCATCATCCAGCCCTCCAGATGGACAAAAGGAAATTATATCCATCCACCTCTCTTCAAGCACTGGAACAGGATTTTCTGAAATTTAGGTTCCATGTTGTAACTGGAGCATACAGAGGTCCAAGGAAGTAATGGTTTAAGAGAGCAAGGGTCATCTTTTGCCCCGGTAATGCCATAGTTTCACTATGTCAGTTGATTTATAGTTCTGGAGACCAGAAATTGTTCAGATTCAGGTATACACTGAATGCTATATTGGCATAAAAAAAAAATCATTTACACTATGCTCTGTGTTAGCCTCACAAACATTAACAGAAGGAAATGTAATAACAAGCAAAAAGCTTGTTGGAAAACCAGCTAATTAGGCTATAATTAAAGTCAACCCAAATATGCTGGTTTTATTAATAATGCTACAAACAGCACAAAGTTACAAACTTAATCTCTTGCCTCTCTCCCGTGGCTTGTGAGCTCATGACCTTATCTTTCCCTCAATTGGAATCTAATTGGCACTCTCCCCTTCACCTGGGCACTCACTTTCAAAAGCTCATTTAATGTAAAATGGGCTCAAATCCTAAGTTTAATAAAAAATAGCCAGAGAAGTACTAAGACAATATAGCTGCTTACACCTCACTTCTTTACACATGAAATTCTTTGTAGTTTGAACCATGACTTTTGTGGAGTTTAATAAAATCATGAATCATAATCCTTTTTCCTTCACCTTCATTTCATAACCAGATTTGTAACTACAATTGAAAAATACATGGGTATGCTTCTCCTTTAACTCAGATACATAAAGTTAAATGCTCAATATTAAGTTATTCATCCTCCATTGGTTTTAAAGGAAATGTAGATAAATGGTCAGTTCCTGAAGGCTATTCATGTCATCCTAAAAATGTGTTAAAAGTAGCCAAAATAAATTGCCCAGAGGTACTTGTTTCTCTGTGCGGAGTATGAAAAGACTTTCAGGTGATCAATGTAGAGTCAGGTACCCAGATTTTATATATATACAGGGCAGAATTCACCCTACCAACACGATACAATAGAAACCTCACTTTCACAGCTTAAGTTGTTCATGTCTTAAAAGCTGCTACTTAGTGTTTGATCCACCTTAATTTTGACAGTGTATACCTTAACACATATTTATTTTTTCCTCCTCTCTAAAGAACAAACTTCATCAGCATATCACAAAACCACACACAAAAAGAATGTCACTTCAAGATTCAAGCACCCAAACGCTGGCATCTGACTGTAGATTAGATTTAGGTGTCTAAACTTAAGGTGTTGCCATTCACAGAAGCCTAGCCAACTAACCCGCAAGAGCAATTCAGGTGACCAGTCACTAGGTCTTAAGGCAAACTGCCCTAGGCTCCACTACATTGACTAGATCTCCAAAGACTGCAGTTTAAGAAATCCAGGTCTTGCATATATACCACACATTTAGGTGTCATACTTTGTAGCTGAATTCCACCCAACCCTGTTCATGCAATTACCTTATGTGACATTTCACATATTTTGAAATAAGGATTCTGTAATTTAACTCTGACTTCGAATACACTCTGGGCTTTTAAGGCATTTTAATGTTGTTTCTTCAAGAAAGAAAATTTTAAAATGCTGTGCAAAAATGTAATAATAATCTATTGCTTTAAGAGTTTAAAATGATTCTCCTTCCAAACTTCTGTCAAACCTTTCAAGAGAAGCTGGATTCCCCCATTCCAGATGGAATCCCATAATATGATCCTCCCCTCCCACTAAGCACAAACAGCACAAGTCTGCAGATTTATATCCTCTTTTTAAGACAAAGAATCTTGAATTACTTTGAGTGTCACCGCCTCATCCAGCTGCTTAGTCCACAGCCTGCTATTAGAGCACAGCCAGGGGAAGCAAAACATAGAGGTTAACAGGATTAAGCTTAGTCAAGTGCTCTGATCACGTCTGTTTATATAACAATGCACAGGAATACCGTATTTTCTGTCTTAAACACATTTAGCCTACAGCATGACCAGCTCTGTTGTTAAAAGAAGCAGAAGATTCCTAATCACAGCAGATTATTAGAAACAAAGTCTATAATATCAGTTTTGAAGATGTGCTTGATTTTGTAAGTCTTTGTGCTTTCATTCTGCTAGACCGGCTAACTCTTGAGAGCTTCCATTTGGGCATAAAAATTAAGTACTTCAGAGAAGTGACCAAATTATACCCATTCACTGCATCTAAAAATGTATGTATGGAGAATATAATTGTCATCCTGAATTTCAGGCAATTTAATAATTCCAGCTCTTACTAAATTTAAAAGCTTCTGATAGTCACAAAACAATTAAGGCATCCATCAGAAGGCTAGTCCCAAATCAAGTGAAATTTGTACAAGAGATTTGGCTGGCCTCACTCCATAGTCTTGAATAACCAGAGGGTATCTACCCAATACAATTTCCCAAACCAATTCAAAACCAATAGGCCAATTGTGTCAACTCCAAGAGTCAGATCAGCCTCCTCTTTTTCACCATGACATAGCTGTAAGAGTAGCTCCCTGACATTTTAAATATTGATTTCAGTGTCAAAACAAGTCACCCATTAAACATTTATGTACCATAAGTAGTTTCATGAAGAACAAACAAAAAAGTGACAACTGAACTAAGCCTCACAAAAAGCTGATCAGTTTCACAAAAGGAAGAACCTCTTTAGGGAGGCCATCTCACCAAAAATTCTTATAAAAAAGAAGGAATAAGAAGTTTATTTATAATTTGGAAAAGTGTAATTTAACCTAAGTGTTAAGCATGGCTTCTGACCTGCATCTAATAAACAACACTAACAACCAAAACTATTATCAATGCAGTCCTCATCTATAAATCCTAGAAATAAATAACTTTCTAGAATACCAGTGCTGAGCTATGCTTATGAGTATCTTCAGATCTACTTATTTGTGTCAGCTAACTAGAATGGTATTTTAACATTCTGTAAGAAGCAGCCACCAAATCCTGACTTACTAGGGTTAGACAGAACTTTAGCATTTGAGTGAACTCATCAGATGCACAACTTGATGAACAGTAGTTACTTCGAGCTGTTGACCCAGACCTAAAAGCAAGGGTTTCTGTGTCTTATTGCCAGCGTACAAGAAACCGAGGGCAAGAATAATTAAGTTGATAATACAAACATAAAATTAGAACATTCTACTATATATTTAAAACACTCTTACTGTAATGAGGTCATTCCTTTTAACCATTCTTCCTTGGTAAAAAATCCCATGCTTTCAGCCTCTAGTTTCCAGGCTAAAACTAACATAATAATCTAGGGAGAAAAATACAAGGGGAGAAAAAGGAGTCAGTATGTAAGAAAAGGCTGATTTCTAGATGTCTGAGAACAAAACTCTGAGCATTCAAACATTCTAGAAGTTGTTGTACATGCTGGCACTTTATATTTGTTACTATTTAATAATTCAGCTATGTGCAATATTTAATTTCATTTTTCTGAAAATTAAATATCAGTATTCTGTAAATGAAATTAAAATAATAAACGAAACAAAAAACCTCACACAGCAGCCACACATAATTGATGTGTTTAGCTGAAATATCTTAGAACAGCTCCTAAAAGCAGGAAGAGATCAACTCTTTGCTTACTGAAGTTAAGAGTTTTACACAGAACTTAATCTTATCAAATATCCTCTTTTAAACTGTTATTAGTATCATGCAAGAAGCCTACATTTTCAGGCTCAACACCAATGTCTTCACAGAACTTTTCCATTCCTTCGGGCCCCACAACTTCATCGGGACCTTCAAAACAAACAAAAAACCCCCCAGACTGAATTTAAGTAACATTCATTGCTCATATGAATTACATACAACAATTAGACTATATTGCATACATGCCATCTTTAAATGCTATTAAATAGGTATTATGTTATTACCATTCTATCAACTGCAATATGGAGACATGTATATTCCATATGAAGTATTACTGTGAACTAAAAGCAATACTAAACCAGAACTTTCATGTTGTGCACTGCCTCCCCACAACAGCAGTCAAGCTATTTTAGTCTGTGTATGCGAGTTTTCAGAAGACTCCATTGGGCTTCCCACTGATATAACTCAACTCCAGTAACTGCGGTGGTCACTTGTGTATAAGATAACTTGGGTATCACTACTCTGTACTGAAGTTACTCTATGAATAATGTTCTTCAGAGAGTTATTTTATCAACAATAAAAAAATTAATTCCATCTGAGCTACTATTACAGATATTACTCTTTCAAAGGTGTTAACATTATGGGTTTGTACTAACACAGAAGAGGATGAACCTTCAAATAATGCAAGTTTTATGATCCTAAGTAATAAGGAGAGTAATAACAATGAATCAGAAAAATGCTAAGCATGTTAGGTCACGTACAAAGCAGAAAAAGATTTATGACTACAATGAAAATAACTTGATCAGGACAACAGTTAGTGTTATACTGTCACTTTTCCATTTTAACACACCAGCAGCCACTAAAAAGCAACAAAATAGGGTATTTAAAGAGCACATACAGACACACTCTACAATATACTGTTTCTTTGAATCAGACTCTGGTTTCAGTTATTTCTGCTAAGCCTGTTCCAAAAATGACTCCTACCAGGCAATCAAATATTATTAGTAGATCTGTTGACATGTTATTTTGATGTGTCTTGCTTGGATTGTTATGTTAATATTGTCTTAGTGAATATGAACCCATGCAGAAGGTAAAGGCCTTAACTTCCAAAACAACGTGCCATTTTACAATTTTTTGGCAAATTGTCCTTTATACATAGACAAAACAGTCTTTTTTTTTTTCCTCCTGGACAATACCCATCTCCAATTTATCTGTATCTGCTGTTACTGTAAGCAGAATTCTTTTTAGGAGTTTGGATAACAAGACTTTGAATCAAGTCAATAAAAACTACTGAGAATGGCTACTTCTACAGGAAAATAAAATGCAACTAACATTTAAGAACATGAACCTCTTGCAAAATGTTGCAAAGAGCATTCAATCTAGGTAAGCAAGGCAAAACACTGCCATCTGGTTTTGAGAAGCCCTTACACAGAATGTGTTAAAAAAATTGAAAGTTTAAATTATGAAGAGATACACATACAAGGATTCACTGGTAATGACAAGTACAAACTTGAATGAGTGTGTTTGGCCCAGAAATCATGTGTACAATTCATATACGTGTGTGTATATAATTTTCTTTTAATGGAAACTTTTAATCTCCTATAGTGTATAATTTCACTAGAACTCTATTTTATGCTAGAAACATAGCATATTTTTGTTACCAGTTAACTAAGAAAATATAACCTCCTACACTCAGTTCTTGACTCAAAAGAAAACCAAAATTTACAGGCCTTAAAGTTAAAAGTATCTGCAGGCACATTATTATTTTCCTCAGAAAAGACTTTCCTCCTAAAGCATATGCCTCAAACCTAAATTAGAAAGCAGAATACTAGAATTAGGAGTAGTTCATTACTGTGGAAATGCTGCCAGGAAAAATATTAGTTCTGATACATATACTCAAACCAATTGCTGGCAGATGAATCATCAGCCCGTTTCATCCTGCAAACTGGCCATTAATGAGTTTTAATCACCAATTAGTTAAGATGGATTTCAAGTAGTGACAAGAAAAGAAATTAGTAACAGTTTACAGATCCTGAATTGCTAACTATATAATTGGTCAATAAATGGCAGTAATAGTCTAATAAGTTCTGCAAAATACACTGCATAGTTACTGAAAGCAACTATTACTTGGATAGAAGTTCTGATTTATTTGAAAGAGGCTACTTCTAACACTTCTGAATGAAACAGTTGTTATTCAGAACATCAAAATATTAGGACAGATTCTCAGACAGGAAAAACAGCATTAGCACCTATAATTTCATTTCGTAAAATAGAAAACCAAGAGGCTTAAATGATTAACTATTTCATTATCCTTCCAACTTGATTATAAACAAGATCTAGTTGGATAAATAAACTTCCACCTAAACTATCTCTCAACATTCTGACTTCTTCTTGGCCATTTCAAATCAGGAAGTAGAACCATTCAGTATATCCTGGTTTAACACTGTACTGCCCAACATCAGTTATTTAATTTTAAAGAATGCCATGGTATATTACAAAGCACAAAGAAGCAGTCAAAAAGAACAAATACGGAAAAGGCTATAATAAAAGCTATACTAATTCAAGTGCATGCAATAAGGAAGTGAACATGGACCTATTTTTTATGTCTACATCACCACAAAAAAAGCAAAAATGTAAATAATATTTGATGTATTTGCTTGTTTTAAACAAAACCATACAGTTTTAATTATGAATCCATTGCATATTACCTGCATATTCATAAAACCAAGCCAGGCACTTTTTGCTTGAAAAATGTTCTTCTCCGCTTATTACTTTACCAGAGGCTTGTGATCTGCAATAGCTTATAAAAACACAAGGATGATAGGTGTTATTTTAATATGAGAAAAGGGAAATAATTTAAAATTAAATTCCAAATTGTTTATTATCAGTTCAAACTATTTAAACTGTTTTATGAAGTCAATATACATATAGAATGAAGCTGAATTTGTTAAAGGGCAACTGTCAGCCTGTTTCAACACTGGTTGGAACATAAAATTACCGTGAAATACAATCCTCTCAGCCTAATTTATCACAACTATTACTTTTTCTGAAATGCAATAGTACTGTTATCTTCTAGATATTAAACCAAGAAACCCACACACAGATGGTCAAAATATCACTACTCAGTAATTTAAATGCCTTATTATCTACTTATATTTATATACACAGGCATTTAAAGTGAGATCTCTAATAAGCAGCATGATCTTCAAGAGTGCTGAATATGCATAGATCCCATTTAGGTCAACAGGAGCTGCAGAGTTTGACATATTTAAAAGTCAGGCTATTTATAGTTAAGTATTCAAATTTGGGAAGAAAACTTGGTCAATTTGTTTACATTAAACATGTAACTAAATATCTGTAAGTTCTATAGATGTTTGGTACACATACCAGAATAGTAATATGCAATTTATGGTAAGACTAAAACTGCTCAGCACACAGAGCTTCCCCCTCATATTGTCTTCATGACACACAACCCAGTTTACCTACGAAGTGAATTTTCATTCTTTATAATTCTTCAAAAGAATATTTAGAATAACTGATTTCTTCCCATAAAAACACTGACCACATGAAAGCATCTTTAGTCAGTAAGGAGCTGCAGCAACTTTTCAATGCACACTCCTTTCAAATACAAAGTTACAGAACTTTAGAACAAGATAAGATTATTTCTAAGAATGAGGTGAAAGTTAATTGTATGAGAAGATTTAAAATTATGCAGCTCCTACACAGCAATTTTAAAATGAAAATGTCAAGTAGGAAAAGAATAGTTCAATTCTGAGAGCTGGTGAACAACTTTATCTCCTATGTATCATTTTAAACTTCACTAGAAAAGAAAGCAATGCTCTCCAAGATGAAGCCTTATGTGCTGAAAGCTAGAATTAAAGATTGACTACACACAAGCATCCATTAAACCGCCATTGAAAATACAAGTCAGCAGAGAGAAACATACAGTATGCTACGGTTTGTTGGTTTTATCCAGTTTAACATATATCTATTTGTAATCAGTGGTTTTATTAAAGAATATTACCAATATAAGAAGGTTAGGTCAAAAATGCTCGTGTATCTAACATTTAGCGACCAGCTAGCATGAACTCTCATTTATGTCAGTTTTGTGCAATGACTACTTGCTTCCTGTAGAACTTTTTTTAAGGAGCTTTCAAAAGATTTTTTTTGGAAGTAAAAGAAATTAAGATCATAAAAGTTTGGTCAGCGACATTCAAGAAAGATAAACTGAAACCGGAGCAGATGCAGAAAAAAGCAACGATAAGCAAGGAAACTGAAAATCAGTACTGCAAAACAGAAGAATTTAGCTTGTTTAATTTCACAAAATAAAGCATGAGAAAGTACAAGCGTTCATTCCAAATACGATAAGGCAGAACCAAGAGGGAGGAGTGTTATATAAAGGATAATGCAGGCACAAGAACGATTATTAACTGGTAATGAATAACTTTAGACAGAAACTAAAAGATCATTTATGACTGCAGAAAGCGAGCTCCAGAACAGTTATCCAAAATGAACAGTCATAACAAAATAAGAGCCTGGGTACTTCTAAACTCAAGTTTGGTCAACCTATGAGAAATGCCATATGCCACAGTTTCTTGCAATGGCCATTCCCGTAGTGTTGATTTCATATGTCCTTTGTATTCTTATGTCCTCAGGATGTTTTGCATAACTACTGGTTTACTAACATACTTAACAAATTCTAATAGATTAAGAAGGCATACAGTTATTTTTGGGAAGCCACACTAGAAGCTCCTGTGACACCATACTATGGTTTATCATTCTAATGGTAATTTTTGGGTAACACAGCATAAGTGGTCTTTTTATAGTACTTAATGAAGAAGATGCTTCAGACTCCTGAATTTATTAGAAAAACCTTTCCTGATTTTGTTTGGAGTGTCCTGACCTGTCCTTCCATTCCACTGCAAAAAAAAAAAAAAAAA